GGTTTAAGTTGTTAAATTGTACAATGGTTTTCGAATAAAACAGCTGGCATGCTTGCTTAGGCCTTTATCGAAACGCTTTCTCATGCAGAAATTTCATAACTTTAACCATTATTATCTTTGAAACGGTTAGGTTTATGAAAAAAATCATAAGGATAAAAACGTCTTAAAATTACATTTTCTACCAGAATACGTAATAAAATACAGGGTGTTCTATAAGAAAAATCAAAGTTGGCGGCCATATTGGAAAAATGGCGGCTTAAATAATTTTTTCGACTTTACTACAATTTTTTAAATAAAAAGTCCAAGGCACTTACCATTTAACTTTTTTTGATATCTCTTATGGTTTTCGAATAAAACGGCTGGCACACTTATATCAATCACCCTGTATTATAAATACACCGCATGTCCTTTGGAATTTTTATTTTAAACAGAGCGGACATCAAAATGCACTATGCAGGTATGTAATAAACTATTATACATATCATAATATACAAAAATGTTAAATGATAATTCAAGGTAGGGTACGGTAGCCCATGAGACGAAAAATTTGTACAAAATAATTACTAGAATATAGGGGCTATTGCCCCTACAAGCCACTAGTATTCTCTATATTGAAATTTGAAAAGTCTCTGTAAGTGATATATTTTGCCTTTTCATTGGATCTGTTATGCTTAACAGGTATGTCACAAAAAGTCAATTTATGGTCAGAGACTCGGACACCACGCTTATCATAAATTACTGACATGTCTATAACATCACATCTTGAATAGTCAATCTGATTGTTCACCAATATATGATCGATCAGCGTGGACGATGTTTTTGTGACTCTCGTGGGCTTATCAACCAGCTGCCGTAGATGAAGGTCATTTTTTTTTTTATTAAGAAGCGGCTTTCCGGCTGTGAATTATCTAGCAGATTTATATTCAGATCACCCATTACAATTATATTGTCCGTAAACTTAATCATGTCATGGAACACAGATAAAAGGAAAGGCTCGATATGCGTATAAGGGGTATCTCCAGGTCTATATATCACATATATGCAAAATTTTCTACCTTTTACATTGACAACACCACAAAAATGTTCCACAGGATACTGTAAATGAACTGTCTTAGGAATGAAACTCAAACCACGTTTTACATACACTGCCACACCTCCCCCTAGCAGATATGCCCGACTTTCTGTCGTTTCTATACAACAAGTATCCATGCAATATAACATCATCAGAGCTAATATTTTCTGTGAGCCACGTTCCAGTCACACCGAAAATGTCCGGGTTCAAGTCCAGTACCACAGAAGCCATCTCCTCAAAACCTGTTGAAAGTGAGTTTATATTAGTATTGTTTAGTATTGTTAGTATAGTACTTTAGTATTGTTCGGGATGATTCCAGCAACCACCAGGACAGCAGGTTCGGACACTGTTCGGTAGGCAGATGCTACCCATAGTGCTTCCTGACGCTGCACTCGGGCGAGCCGCATCCTGGAATTGTACTGATAGTACATTACTGTAGTAACTAAATGTTCCATTTTATCAAAAGTCTCCTAAAAACCCCTACCCACCCTCAAAGTGCTCAAAGTGAACAATTGCATGGTTTTTATAAAAATTTCTTATTTCTCATACGGAATAATTGATTCAGCAATTTAAAAGCTTGTTGTCTTCATAATTGAATTCCCTAGCTAGATTAGTTGTCCACATATTAACCTTGAATCTTGCAGTTTTTTACATCTTTTTGTCTGAAATATTTTTATTGTAATTTTGGGTTTTCCACTATATTTAATTTTTTTAGATAAATTAAAAAAATAGTTCCTCTATTTTGGTTAACTACTATTATTAGAGACTACTACAGTGGTAGTACCTAGATTACTATTTTGGTGGCCTTTCTTGTGAATACATGTCACCACTCATTATATAAACTTAATTTACCTTTTGTACTATACAATTAATATCTTTTTTGCTGTTTATTTAATATCATATGTTTAAAGACGGCCCCACTAACGTTCATGATGAGCAACACACTGGGTGGCGTCATTACTGTCACCAGTACCCAGTGCGTTGCTCATCATGAACGTTAGTGGGGCCATCTTTAAATGCCCTTACCCACTTGTGTACCATACCGTCACTCATAATGTTCTCAGCATACACTTCACTAATCTTTCAATGAATTTCAACGGCTTTCACACCTCACACCTTAAGCTATTAACACAGCAACTGGTCCAAATACATGCGATGTCTACTTCAGTATCCAATAGTCAATGATTTCTTCCAAGAATAAAACTAATAACTAATCATTTGTCGATTTATCTTTGATGAACCGTATTTATCTGTGAGGTGTATAAAATGAACCAGCAATTAAGAAGCCTGGTTTTCCATTAAATGACAGATTTTTAAATTAGGCATCGGCATTGTCAGTGCAAAAATACATCAAAGTCAGTCTATAGTTCAAACAATCTTGGCATTTAACAACTCTTCTACTGTTGTATTATAAAATCATAAAATTTGTTATTAGGCAACAACCTCACAACCTCTGGCAGTCTATTAAAGGAAAGCAATGATTGGAATTTATGGATCTTAAAATACTTGTGCAATATAATATTAGGTTTAACAAGACTACCTCTGTTTCTTGTATAATGGTCATGAACTGAAAACGGTTGATTAAAAAGTTCAATGTTCAAGATTACTATGAATGTAAATACCAGCAGGGCCGGATTTAGCATTTTTGCGCCCCTAGGCCCAAATAAGTTTCCGCCCCCTAGTCTGGTCACAGTTACTTTCCTTCAAACCTTTATTAAAAACTATTTCATGCCCATAGGCCTAAGTTAATTGCTTGAATACCACTCCTCGCCGGAATGATTGCCAGTTTTTTTTATTGAGTTGTTTAGCCTTAACAAAATTCCGTCTTAAACACTGTTAACAATTTCATGCTTTTAATAAATGCTCACGTTTGTGGCCGTGGGACTGAAACAAAACAACTCAAACCACCGAGAATTTTTGAAAAAAAAAATGGCCATTGATTCCAATTTCAGGCCCAAAATCCTGAACTCCACACAGTACGTGATACCATAGAATAAACATAGGCTACTCCTATAGTAGATTTGTCATAATTTTGGATTAGCTGAAAACAATTCTTGTTATTTGAGGAGTATGTTTTATCTATGTTTAAGCCTAGTTTATCCAAAATAAAACGATCTAATCATCAACAATAAGGTCGTCTCCTGTTTATATTACAAGAAATTATAACATACATCATAGAACTAACCCAAAAAAATAGAAACAAAATTACGTTAAAACTAACGTCCAATATCACCAACATGAACTAGACAAGAACTACTTGAGCTACGGTATATTTAATCTATGGTCGTACTGCATCTAGGTTATATTTCCAAAGCAAAACAGAGCAATACTCCTGCCAACCATACCGATCCTTATGTCTTTGGAGAAAATGACAGCTTTAATGGTGCTTTGGAGGGTATTGAATGTTTCTAAAATCTAATGCAAACTGAGATTACAATTTTTTTGTTAAATTTAAACGTAAATTAATCGTTGTTTTAATATTTAAAAAAACACAACGTATTATATATTTTAACTTGATCCTGCAGATTGTTGTAAACTAATCAAAAGAGTAGTTAATAACTTTTGTTTTGTGAAGTGAGGGTGGTAACAATGTCTAGCACGCTTGCGCCCCTAATCACTATGATCAGTTATGCCAAACCCGAGCCTCAGCCAGCCGAGCCAGCATATAGTCCAGTCCAGTGCAATGGCAATACGATGCGTCTCCCTTGGGCGCTCGTCAACGTCAACATCCCTACAGCCTACTCCCGTATAACCAATGTTCGTTAATCGTTAGCAACTTTGTAACGAAATTGATGCGTAATTCTGAACAATGTTTTAAATTTCATAACAATAATATCTTCTTATGAACTTCAGAAGTTTTTTTTTAGTATCTATGACTATTTATTTTTATTTTTTGATAGCCTATAAAAAAATTCCTCTTGGCCTTGCGCCTTCTGGGACCCTGCGCCCATAGGCCCGGGCCTATTGGGAAATCCGGCCCTGAATACCAGCAACTGTCACCATTGTTCTAGTTCTTAAGTCTGGAAGATTCTAGCCCAGCCATAACTCTAAGAGCCTTCTTCTGTTATGAAAGCATCTACGGCAGAGGGCGTGTTACCTTTGTAAGCACGGCCTCCTTTAACTCCAGGCTGCGGCCTTCGAAGTGGCAACATCACAAGTAGGGTGGTAACAGGTGTTTTGTTTGGAGGCAGCTAATGGTATTTGTGTATTTTTTTAGATTACGAAAACCTGGTTACTGGGCTATGACAATATTGACTTCACTTTCTTAATTTTTTTTTAACTTTATTTTATTTTAAAATCTGTTCAGTACTGTGAACAATTAGTAAAAGGAATAATATAAATAAGTGACTAATATAAATCAGTGGCGTCATTTCACCAAATCCTTGGGGGGGGCAAACACCGGGGGGTATCCCCCAGCAAACAAGGGGGGTCTGGGGGCTTTAAGCTTATTTTAATTGTCAAAAGCACTTTAAATAAAAAAAATTATGAGTAAAATTTATTTAAATTTAGGCAGAAAATTAATGAAACTAAGAATTATTGACAATGAACTGAGCGCCAAAAAGCCTCACATCTCTTACCATGCTACTAGCACGTGCCACGACCATGCAGGGTGCATGTATCTCACACAGTGCTACTGGCAACAAAATTTCTAGTCGCCCCATGTGAGATGCATATGTGTGTAACCCGTCTTGTAGTGCACTCTTTTAACAAATGAACATTCCTGTTTTACATCACTCAACACTCAACTATTCATACTTGTCAAAACATTAGACTCACACATATAAGTATCAGTAGAATACAAAATATAACAAATGACATTAATTCTGAACCCTCTACCACTCATTCAGAAGCAGAGCTGGGCCACTATGATTTAAAGTGAAAAAATAATGACTGCAAAACCTTTTTTAGTATTAAAAAATAACAAATGTTGGGGAATAAATACTTTAATTAAACAATAAACATGTACAAAAAAAAGTAACAGATGTAGGAAAACTCAAACTCCAATCGACACTTGACATTTGATCAGTGGAATGTAAGAGGCAGGTCCAATGTTGAGTCTAGCAGTTGCAGGATCCTTCTGGGCATTTACATTGGCCTCCTGTCTTGCAAGAGCAACTGCTGCCTGTCAACAAAATAAACAGTTTTAAATAAAAACTAAAATAACTTTGACTGAGATAACTCAACTAAGATGATTTACTCACAGATGATTTACTAACAACATATGTGTGATATTATGTTAGCCGAACGCAAATTTTCAAAAATAACCAACCTATAATAGTATATTTTGGCTAGTGTCAATGTCTTTTAGCGAATTTCCCATATAGGGAATAAGCTATTACCGTAGTACGGTACTCATGGTAAGACCTGGACGCGGGACCGATTTTGTTTTTCGTTTTGTGGTCCCTAGAGGCCAAAAACACATATTAATATATATATATATTCAAATTCATATATATATATATATTTATATATTTATATCTAATATATAAAATTCTCGTGTCACAGTGTTTGTCTGCAAACTCCTCCGGAACGACTTCACCGATCGTTATGAAATTTGGTGTGTAAATTCTGTAGGTATGCGAATCGGACGTAAACTATTTTCCCGTTTCGAAATTCTTAAAAGGGCTCCGCCCCAGTGGCTCTGGAGTTTCCCATGTTAACCTTATGAGAAATGGAATTAATGAATCTTAACAGCTGTTTCAATTAAACAAGTTGGTTCTGTTCTATGATGTTCAATAGCATTAAAGTTACAAGGATTACCAACAGGGTGCAGCACTATTATTTCTTTTACATTTATGACAACAGCTAATTTGCAACCAAAAGGTGAGTGAGCGTAGCGAACGAACTTCAACCTGGAGGCGAGTTAGCGTAGCGAACGAGCTAACCTGAAGGCAAGTGAGCGCAGCGAACGAGCTCCAACCTGAAGGCAAGTGAGCGCAGCGAACGAGCTCCAACCCAAAGGTGAGTGAGCGTAGCGAACAAACTTCAACCAGGACGTGATTGAGCGATGCGAACGAGATCATCTTGAAAATTAAACGTAATGGTACTTTCTTTCCATCGGTCTGTCTTAGGGGAAACCTATAACTTAGGCGATACGAAGTTCGCCGGGTCAGCTAGTATATATATATATATATGTGTCCGTTAGCACGATAACTCAAGCAAAAATGATCCAATTTTGATGAAATTTGGTACAATTTGTAAACCTACGTTTATTCAAACGAGTTCGCGATCCAGCATGATCGGACCATGGGTACGGGGGTTTACGGGGGGTTTTATGGGGTAAAAATAGGTTTTTCCCATTTTTGACCCAAAAAACATAAAATTTAGCAATTTCTTTCCAAACCATTTTGTAGAGCTTAAAAAAACAAATAATTTAGTATATTGAAGCGCTGTTATCCGCCTAATGGTTACGGAGAAAATTCCAAAAAATTGTAAATTAAAATTCCAATGTTATTCTTATGGAGAATAAAGTAAACTGTTGTAGTTTGCTTGTTTATGAACATATTTTGATCAAATTTGGAAAATGTTTTTATTTCTTACTAACTATTAACATTTTACAAAAAAAAAAACTGTTTTACCCTCCCTGATGCAGCAAACCTAAGTACTTGTTAAAACTAATTCTATTTAAATCGGGAATAAATGTTATTTTTTAAATAGACATTTCAGTGTAAATTCAATCAGTCAAATGGAAATTCGCTTAGTCTGCAGGTTTGCTGCGGCGGGGGTATTTTACGATTTGCATCAGTCTGTAATAATACAAAACTTGACAAATGAGCCCATATACTGATATTGTTAGAGTAAAAACAAAACCTTCCCAACAGAAAACCACCCCCCACCACCGCGCCGTGCCGATGGCGAGGCGTTAGTCTCTTCTCTTGAGGAACACCACCTCAACAATACGGAGTAGAGCCAACAGACTCGGTGGTGTGGTGGATAGCATACCAGGCTTAGGCTATAATGAATACAAGGTAGCCGGATCGAATCCCACCGGAGGCTTTAACTTTTTGTCAAAGATACAAAGATATATTTTTATTTTTATTTTTTTTTTATAGAGTTAGATTTTTTTCATTATCAGCAAGTTTGGTTAGGTTTAATTTTTAAAATTTTAAATTTTTATTTTAAACAGTTTAATTTTACAACTAAAAAATTATAAAATTGAATTTGAGGCATTTATAGTTTTATTTTATGAACAGAACTTTTTTTAGATTATAGTAAACCTTCATTAGTTTTTCGTTATCAGCAAGTTTGATAAGGTTATGACAGATTAAATTAAATTTAAATTTAACCTACAAACGATACGTTTTGACAGGGACAGTGATAGAGATAACGATTTGCCGCAAACAGTTCGGCTATGCACGGTATGATGTGGAAGCGTTCGGCACACCTCCAGGGAAGGGTGGTTTTCTGTTGGGAAGGTCTAATGAGTAAAACCTGCTAAAGCAATTTAAAGCAAGATCTGCTTTAGCCAGCAACTGGCTTTTATGGTTAAAATGTTGATATTGTCATAATCAATACTAGGAGGTTTTGCCTGACTAAAGGGAATGTGTTTCAAGGAAGGACCTAAAGGTTGGTGTTTTTTTAGGTTTCACCAAAGAATATACAGTAGAATTGAGCTTCTGGTTTGTTTCTCACAAAGAAGCACATTTGAAAAAGGCTATTTCAGTTTTTGTATACTTGTAATAAAAAATACCCGGCCGCAGCAAAACTGCTGACTATGCGAATTTACATTTGTCTGAATTGATTTTCAATTAAAATATATTTAAAATAACATTAGGTTTAACGAGTACCTAGGTTTGCTGCTACAAGGAAACTAATAAGGTTTGCTGCTACAAGGAAACTAATAAAGTGTGTTTTTTTAGTAAAATATTAATAGCTTAGTATAAAATAAACAAATTTGCCAAGTTTGATCAAAATATATCCATAAACAAGCATACAACATTTTACAATATTCTCCATAAGAATAATATGGGAATTTTAAATTTACAATTTTGTTAATTTTCTCCATTACCAATAATGGTACAAAAATACTTTGACATACTAAAACGTACTATCTGTTTTTTTGAGCTCTGTTTTTTTTTAAAGTCTGGAAAGAAATTGGGAAATTTTGTATTTTGAGGGTCAAAAATAAGAAAAACCAATTTTTACCCCATAAACCCCCCCCCCCCCCCCCCCCCGTATAACACCGTTCCCATGAGGTCCGACCATGCTGGTTCACAAACTCATTCAAGTTTATCCTGCATTACACCTTTAAACCGAATTTCATCAAAATCGGACAAAAATTACTCAAGTTATCGCGTTCAGGACATGACATTTTGTACATTTTTCCTACGGGAACAGTCTTAAACCATGGTCTTGTTACTATCTAACGTCAACCTTTTTTGTTGGATTATTATCCTTATATACAGGGTGGCTGCAAGGTAACTTGCTCCCCCACTTTCACCTTTGAACCTTTTGAGATATTTGAACTCGGTTTGCGGCAACCTTCTTAGAAATGAGAGGCTACAATAATCATGGTTGATTTTGAAAATTTTGTCCTTATAGGGTAGCAGGGGTAGGGTAGCTCAAAATTTTCAAATGGCAAGTATATTCGAGCTAGGTATCATTTTACAGGTCTTGACAAAACTAAACAATTAACATAAAGAAAATAGAAATTGGGCCATTAATAACAAAATGACAGCTAAAAATAATTAAGACAATGGTTATTCAAAGTAATTTTTAACTGCCATCGCATTTCGTGGGTGAAAAACCAGCTTGCGCATCTTTACATAAAGGATGTTTACAAACATTGAGTCACCTGGTTGATGAGCACATTTTCCTATCACCTATCGGGATTATAGATATTGGTTCGATATCATTAGTGATCGTTCTGACCACATGATTGTCCCAACCCATCCATCGTCAGTCCCGATTCATTGAATGAAACACAATCCAGCAACAGTTGCATTAAGTTTATTAATGCTGATAATAGGCAACGGGCGTTCTAGTTTAATGTACCATGAAAACAATTCATGAACCGGTACTTTTGATCATTACAGTATTTTATAAATCATAAATTCAAAAACTTATTCGTTAACATAAGTCAGTAAAGCAATAAAGGTGGTTTTATTCATAAAACGCCACTTTACAACTCAAGGCTTTAGATTATTGTAGTCGTTTTGCCATGCACCTTTGTTTAATTTTTAACACATTATTAATCTCAATAATCATATAGATTTCTGGTTTACAATACTCACTATTCAGGGCATCTTGCAAGAATAAAGACGTCACTACATCAATTGGTTTTAAAAAAATACTGCGTTTTCAAAGGTTTTTTTTTAATCTATTTTCCAATTACAAAGGTTTTGCAGCGTTACATCTTACTTCTTCAGTACGGTACCCGTAAACTCCATTTCCTCAACGGAAACACCGATTTTGTTAATGAAAAACTAATGAAAATATATAGCATTGTAAACGGAAGTAATAATGAATAAACGACAATATTAAATTAGAAAACTATTTGAAAACGTAATCCATACACTCAAAAAATTATTTTGTTAACTTTACAAAAAAAAAGCTTAGGTGCAGTAATTCAAATTTTATTAATAATTCTATTTATTTAGTTAAGGCCTGTAAGAAATAAACTAAAGACCAAAACTAATAAGTCATTCAATTTTAATGAAATGTTTTGAACAAACCAACATCCTTCTCAGTGATAGAATTTTTTTTTTTAACCAAACTAAGCCTGCCAGCTTTCTACCGTCTGCGCGCACATGCTAGCATCTTTCTGTTTGGTTTTTCATTTACGAAATACACTGTACGTATATTATGACACAGCAATGCTACTACTACTACATTCTGGTTCAATCCAAACCTTAAAATTTTTATAACCAATCTAATTTTAATTAAAAAAAACTGGATCAGCAGATACCTACTGTCCTTCTGAACATAATTGAGAATTGGTAAAGATTTAGACCATCACCAATACCAACTAAATAACTTATCTATTTTAAAAGTAAGCTGATAAAACGTAGCCAGCCACCATTGGATCTAAGGCCTTTTCTTAATTAATTTCTTGGTTAGTAACGTTGTATAATGTACAGGGTGGGGCAGGGAAATATCCCTACTTTTAAGATGGTACTGTGAGTAGTGGGGGTGTGCTGGAAGAATGGGGTTAGGCTCAAATGAAGCTTTTGTTTTGGGAATTTGTAAAAATATCACTATCAGTAGTAGATATGGCTTGTTCGAGTGACCAATGTGCTTTTGCACTCGAGATGTATTTTTTTCAAAAATCTGTCTATTGTTGCTGTGTAGCTACCATTGGCTGTCGGGTTATCGGGTAGCCTGTCGCAAAGCTGTTACAATTTGGTGTGGGTGAATTACTTTTGTGTATGTGGTGGTGTATTACGAAGGATATTTGGAGCTCAAAAAACGGTCCGGAGTCCTGAAAACATTGACCTTGTCAGAAGATCGATTTTGCAGTCTCCTCAAAGTTCTCCTTGTAAGCATGCATCCGCGCTGGCGTTGTCTAATCGTACTGTGCCTCGTATTCTCCATGAGGACTTACACCTCCATCTATACAAGAGGGTAGTTGCTCATGAACTCACACAAAGGGACTGGCAACAAAAAATGCAGGCATGTGAAAACTTAATTGCGGGACTACCGCATGCTGCTCGGATTTTGTTTAGTGACGAGGCACACTTCCATATTCCTGGAGCGGGTAAATAAGCAGAATGTGCTCTATTGGAGTGATGCTAAGCCTAGGGTAGTTCAAGGGGGAAGACCCTAGATGCCTTGAAGGATGCAATTCACCTTGAATGTTGCCTCTTTCCACAACAAATGCTTCACAAAGTTATAATGAACTCCAGAACCAGAATACAGTAATGCATTTAAGATTAGGGACACAATTTGCAGGATATGCTGTTTAAAACCAAGTAAAGTTATATTAAAATAAATTCCCAGATGTAACCTTTTAATCTCAATAAAAAGTTTGGCTCTAACATTTTTGGTTGTCTTTTAATTTACCTTTAAAATTAGGGATACTTCCCTGCCCCACCCTGTAGATGGACAATTTACCTTTCTTGCAGCACTGACAGTCGCTGGAGCACTTGCAGTTATCTCCACAAGTACACTTTCCTCCAGCTCCACAAGTGTCTACAACAGAACATTTGTTTTGTATATAGGCTGGTACCACCACCACATATTACAGGGTGTTTTTGTTTGAATTTCCCCACTTTGAGCTTTTTTTGAGATTCAAACATTATTATTAGCCTTAGTATATTTCACTACTAGTTCCAAAAGTGAGTTTGAGGGTAGGACAGTGGTGTATGAGCTAGGCAAAGCCGCAGAATGCTCTAGTTGAATATTTTCCAGGGTGTGATTTTAGCGGCAAAATATGGTTCGTCACCAATACATAGATTCTTTAAAAAGAGCAGAGTGGGAATGCCGATCCTGCTCCACTACACTACTGCAAAGCGGAGAACTATCATAAACCCTGAAATGAGACTTTCATGGTGGAAGATTGGAAAGATACTTTTCATCCTGATGCAACTAATCACAAAATCTTTTGGTTTTAAAATATCAAACACTATTTCATAGTGTATAAATTGTAATAGTATAACTTAGGATCTATTTGTAATTCAGCTGTGCATGAACATCTTAAACATTTGTTTGGAACTGTCAAAATCATATGTTTTGACAATTGAAAATATAAAAATGTGTAAAGCTCAGCTGTTAGAGGATACTGAGTGATAAAAAAAGAGTTATTTTTAAAAAAAATTGATGTCAGTAGCTTAAGTAAATAACAATCTGAAAGTTTAATTTTTTGCATCTTTCTCCCACAGTGGCAGCAGGTAGGCCTAATTAACTAAAACAAAACAAATATTTATTCCCATGTCTGTAGAGTGTATTAGGGTTGACAAAGTGAAGTGATTAGTGATGTTAATAAACAATTCTAAAGATGCCCTAATGAGCGCATCAGAGACTACTTCAACAACATCAATAACTAGAAGGCAACTACCAAACATAAATAAATGGTATCAGCATTCTGACACATACTTTCTCCCATAAGTTTGTCAACAACTTTCATCACGTGTAAGCGGTGAGAGTAAATATACGGAAATGGGATTTGAAAAATTTTGTTCAGAATTTAAAGGACTAACATACTAAATTTTTATCAAAATTGTGCGAGCTAATTTTGGGAAAATCCGATTTTTCCGTTATTTTATGGGGTTTTTATGGGAAAATAACATAATTTACAATAACTTTTGAACCGTAATTTTTACAGAAATGGGATTGGTACCATTTTGTTCAGAATATAAAGGACTATAAATAACATACTAAATTTTTATCAAAATCGTTCAGGCCATTTTTGGAAAAATCCTGTTTTTCCATTATTTTATGGGGTTTTATGGGCAAATCCCCATTAAAAATAAAAATTTCTAAAAAATGAAAAAAAACTTTCAAAATTGTAAGGACCATAACATACTATGTTAAATAAAAACCGGATTTTTGTCCAAAACCCTATTTTTTGTTATTTTATGGGGGTTTTATGGAAAAATAACATAACTTAACATAACTTTTGAACCGTAATTTTTACAGAAATGGGGTTTGTACCATTTTGTTCAGAATTTAAAGGGCTACAACATACTAAATTTTTATCAAAATCGTTCAGGCCATTTTTGAGAAAATCCGATTTTTCCGGTTTTTTATGAGTTTTTATGGGAAAATCCCCATTAAAAATCAAAATTTCAAAAAAATGAAAAAAACGCCTCGAGATACCATGGATTAGAACCTTCATACCAAATTTCATCGAAATCGGACCACAGGTGTAGTCTCTAGCTCTGTACACATCCAGACACACAGACACACACACACACACACACACGCACACACACACACACACACACACACACACACACACAGACATCACTTCGAAAACCACTTTTTTGGGTCCAGGGGGACCCAAAACGAATATATCCACTCAAAACTCAAACTCGAAAATTTTGACGAAAACAATACTTTCTCCATATACTATGGTATAGGGGGAGAAAGTAAAAGTAATGTTAGGTTTATTCCCTATTTAAATTTGTAAAAAACAGGTATGCTACTTAGGTTTTCTACTACAGGGTATAGGTGATTGCTAGCTAGAATCTGTTGATAGAAACAACATTTAATAACTGAGTAAAAAGATTTGGTACACTATAGGAATTACCACAAAAAAAAAGGAAAATATAACCATTTTTAAACTGTTGTAGGTAGTTAGTTTATTGATATATTTTAATGAAATTTGTCAAATTTCTTTATTTCATAGTAAATAGATTCACATAATATATTCATTTAAGTGCGTGTTTTAGTTAAATGTTAAAAGTTAGTATACTATATTTATATACTATTTAATAGTATATTAATGGTATATGAAATACACTACCAATTTATTAGGTACCGGTATCTAAGTTGTTCAAAAAAATCAATGATAAATTACCCAGTTAATAAAATATTAAAATGTATTGTTGATTATTAAAACCTCCAACTTGATTTCGTAAATGTTTACTTAAAACTTAAATTTGATCAATATAATAAAGCAGGATTTGATCTAATTAAATCATTAATAAACTTTTAATCTGGCAAGACCAGTACCTTGTACTTGTTTTACTTATTTGGATTTCTCTAAACTAAAGTACAGTAATGCAAATTTACCTTTGCAAGAGTCACAGCACGGTCCTGGCATTTTCTTGTAGTTTTACTCTCACTATCACTGGACAACAAAGAATGATGGTTTTACTTTGACAGGATTTAGCTACAACAAGAGGTTATATAGCGATAGTGACGGGCGCACAGGCTCGCCGTGACGACACAGTATTCGACCAATGAGAGAACCGCGTGGAGTTTCGCCGCTACGCCAGCTGATTCATCGATTGTCTCCCTGCAGCTGAGTGCACTTTGCACACGGCCCTATGCGTCATTGATCTTGCATTTCCTACTTCCAGAGAAACTCATGTTTACCTCTGAAGTTCTAGTACATGTTTCATATTGTAATTGTTGTATCATAAACGGACTAACCGTTTCTTCTAACACGATTTGCGAATGAAATAATTGGATTCAATTTGTATCATAGAAACAATTCAAGTTAAGAATTTTAACTTGTTAGTTTACTAATTAACAACATGAAAATGTATACACACTTGATATTTTGGTCCTAATAATGTAGGGAAACTTATACTATTGGTTTGCATTATTAATTAAATGTCATCATTACTATTTTACAAGTTTTCATCATACTGTCTGGAACGCAGCCGTTTTAAAGTTCCCTAAATCGTCCACAAATTCGTCGTTTTCGGGTAATCTTCGATAAATTATTTCCAGTTATATCACTGAGTTATCTTTATATTAGCATCTAAACGCGTATAAAACGTCAGGTCAGGGTGTATGCCTACCGTTCTCATTTCGTTTTACTTTTCAGTAAATCTATCTTTTTACTATGATTTTTTTATTAAAAACCATTTGATGACATTACATTCTACAACACAATTTACTGCTGTCGGCCAGTAAATTTTATAGCCATATAGTTCTAGTAAAAATAACTTCGATCTCCATTGGATAATAAAACATCTTCAGGAAAAATCCACTTAGATTTGACAACCTCACTATTGTCATTGACTACGTTTCTGACTAGTGTCGATGTCTTGTGTTTACCAACAGTATAGGATAGTTACATTTATAGATTGGAAACAGAAGATGTAAAACGTTCCCAGAAAGTTTCCGAAGTGGAATTTTCTAGAGTGGCGACGAAGGTCATTATCCACAAACACTATGATTGGTTGTTATGTCGGAATGCGTTATGCTCCGTATCCTGGCCGTCTTGGCGAGTGTTTGGACCGTTCCTCGCGGCTTTCTAATCCTCAATTTCTATCTAACATTCGTCACATACTAGTTCTCACAGTCCAATACCCATCTAGATACATTTTCATTCTTGTTTTATTAGCACAGCCCAAAATACCTTGTAAGCAGAAGCCATGTTTTGTTAAAAAACGACGAGTTACCTTTTTCAAATTAATTGATCGTTGGTTGGGGGTTCAGCATCAATAATGTATTGAGCAATTAGTTGTTGCAGTTGATAAAACAAGATATTTGTTTCACGAAATAAGGTTTTTTGGGTGATCATAAAAAAAATTTATAATAATATTTGCTAGTACAAAGTTAAAATTAGTTAGGAATATGTAATAATTAATTCGAAGAAATATTTAGAGACAATGACAAGGTTTAGGCGTCGCTTAATTAATGTAGTGTAAAAACACAATTTTAAAAAAATGTTTCATTTTATTTTTATTTTTTTCATAGGGTCTAGACATTTTACCATCTATATGTTTAATTTTAATATCGTTTCAGACCGATGATGCACATTTTTACTTATTTTGAAATGAAGCCAATCATGATCTTTACCATTTGACATCAACCGTTTGTTAAAAGCATACGCAGGTAATTAATCAAAATTTGATTACGGTAACTGGGTTTGGATCTATATTTTAATCAATTTTAATACCTATTTTAATCGAACATGAGAAATTTTCCTATCTGAAAGTGAGCTAAGCCTCTATCCACTCACTATATAAGATGTTCAAATACTCCAAACCCTTATTGTTGACTATGTTATCTATTATTGACATTGTTATCATATGCAAACGGTTTAAATATTTCAGTCGACAATCGTAGTTTGTTTACGCAGTGTTACGGCGTATTAACTTAGAGTTCCAGTTAGTGATAATGCCCAGCTTTGAGCATATTGTTAGTTTCCATGGCTCAGAGTCAAAAACGATAAATATATGTGGTTAAGTAAAGTAAATTTGAAAATAGACGTAGGCTAATCACTAACCAGTCAATTGTCCATAGCGATGCAAATTCAATCAATAACATATCAGTGTAGGCCTAATTGAAAATATTATTTTCAATTGGATTATACAGTCAATGGTACAATCTACTTTTGATGAGGGTGATAAAAAAGAATACCTAGGAATATCTATGTTTGTGTAAAGTACTTGATCACCACTATTTATAATAAATACCCACGCTGCAGCAAACCTGCAGACCAAGTGGATATCCATTTCCCTTATTGGATTTTCACTAAATATCTCCTTAAATGTCATATTTATTGCCTATTTAAATACCTTTGGATTCACTAGTATACTAGTACAGTAGTGGTCACTTGCTTAGTTTGCTGATACAATAAAAGTAATATTTTTTAAAATGAAATATTAATAGTAAGTTATAGACTGAATGAATTTTCCAAATTTTATCAAAATATGTTCACAAACCAGCATACTGCAATAGTTTACTTAATCTCCACAAGGATATCATGGGAATTTAAATATTCAGATTTTTTTATTTTCCCCTTACCGGTACCTATTCAGCGTTTCAACATACTAAATTATTTTTAAGGTCTTCAGAATTAGAAATAAATTGCAAAACCTAATTTTTCTAGGGTCAAAAAGTGTGACCCCCGAAAATCCCCCGTTCCCATAGCTCATACTCGTTCGAATAAATGTAGGTTTCCGTGCTTATACCAAATTTCATAAAAATCAGAAGGTTTTCTTTAGATTTATTGTGATAATAAACACACATAAAAAAAATATATACAATCTATCTTTCTAATATATAAAATTCTCGTGTCACAGTGTTTGTCTGCAAACTACTCCGGAACGACTTCACCGATCGTTATGAAATTTGGTGTGTAAATTCTGTAGGTATGCGAATCGGACGTAAACTATTTCCCGTTTCGAAATTCTTAAAAGGGCTCCGCCCCAGTGGCTCTGGAGTTTCCTATGTTAACCTTATGAGAAATGGAATTAATGAATCTTAACAGCTGTTTCAATTAAACAAGTTGGTTCTGTTCTATGATGTTCAATAGCATTAAAGTTACAAGGATTACCAACAGGGTGCAGCACTATTATTTCTTTTACATTTATGACAACAGCTAATTTGCAACCAAAAGGTGAGTGAGCGTAGCGAACGAGCTCTAACCCAAAGGTGAGTGAGCGTAGCGAACGAACTTCAACCTGGAGGCGAGTTAGCGTAACGAACGAGCTAACCTGAAGGCAAGTGAGCGCAGCGAACGAGCTCCAACCTAAAGGTGAGTGAGCGTAGCGAACGAGCTCCAACCCAAAGGTGAGTGAGCGTAGCGAACGAACTTCAACCAGGACGTGATTGAGCGATGCGAACGAGATCATCTTGAAAATTAAACGTAACGGTACTTTCTTTCCATCGGTCTGTCTTAGGGGAAACCTATAACTTAGGCGATACGAAGTTCGCCGGGTCAGCTAGTATATTTGTAAAAGAGGAAGTTTGTAAATATAATATATTTATATATTTGAACGTTATAGATTTCGAAACCGCCGGACAGATTGTAATGAAAATTCCAGGCATTATTAAGCATTATTCAAGGATGGTTTGTGTGAAGTTTGGTGCAGATCCGTCAAAAGAGCTCCGCCCCCGTAGCTCTGGAGTTTCCCATGTTAACCTCATGAGTACTCATATTTAAGTGGAATTAAACATTCTTAACAGCTGTACCAACTAAAAAATTTGATCCTGTGATGATCAATAGCATTAAAAGGTTACAAAATGTGCCAACAGGGTGCAGCACTATTGTCTAAATCTATCTATATCTATCTATCTATATATTAATAGGCAAGCATGTTTCTTTAAAACCTTTTTTCTCAGCTCGTGTGCATCGTAGGGAAAATCTACGCATACCGTTAGAAAGCTATTTTCCTGTAGGTGTGCAGAATCCCTTTATAAATTTAAATAGGCTCAAAGATAAGCACAAAAAATGAGTTTAAAGATTTGAAAAAATTAACATGGATCTTATGCGTTGCCATGCTGGTGACAAAATAACAACGAAATATAAACAGGAAATCAAAACAAATGGAAGAAACTCCAATCACATGTTTTATTTACAGTGTGGGGTGAAAATAGAGAAGTGAGTACATTACATATTTTTGGTCGAGTTTCGACCACTGGACGACCTCTCGTCTATATAATAATAGGCAAGCATGTTTCTTTAAAACCTTTTTTCTCAGCTCGTGTGCATCGTAGGGGAAATCTACGCATACCGTTAGAAAGCTATTTTCCTGTAGGAGTGCAGAATCCCTTTATAAATTTAAATAGGCTCAAAGATAAGCGCAAAAAATGAGTTTAAAAATTTGAAAAAAATTACATGGATCTTATATGCGTTGCCATGCTGGTGACGAAATAACAACGAAATATAAACAGAAAATCAAAACAAATGGAAGAAACTCCAATCACATGTTTTATTTACAGTGTGGGGTGAAACATTAACATAAGTGAGTACATTACATATTTTTGGTCGAGTTTCGACCACTGGACATTACTCGTACTTATTTATTACGCAAGCAGGTTTTTTGTGACAATTACTCCTCCAAAACTACTGAACCGATTGACATGTTTTTGGTGTAATTGAAAAGAGCGTAACGTGAAGTTGTGCAGGAACCTTTCTTTTTAGGGAAATAATTAGAGAGTGAGGCCCTGGGGCCCTTTAAAGTTTTGTATTCCTCCATAAGATTAACATGGGAAACAAACATTGTTATGAAACTCCAGCTGTTGTCAGAAATTAAAAGTAAGAAGAACATATGTCAATTGTAAAATTATGATAGAGAGGTTATGCAGAAAATCAGGTAGTTTATGGTTATTTGGTGCTATTAAAATAAAGACTGAAACTTGCAAACCTACTGGTGACAATGAGTGATACCATGCAGACTACATTATCATTGACAAAGACCAACATGGACAACCTAAGGCGGGTAGGCCCCTATAAGTGGGAAACATTTCTACAATACACTA